TCTCTTCGATGTCTCCCTGGCATCTGCAAGCTGCTGCAAGGAAAGCAACACGAATCTCACCTTGTCCCTGTGCAAAAATTCAAATTTACCCTTTTTACTAGGCAGCATCTATGCATCCTTCAATCACTGACAGCACAAAGCTGTGCACAGTGCTTGGGTTTAGGCTCTGAAACTCATATCCCACCTCAGCTCATCACAGGTTCTCCTTAGCCCTTGCACTACAAGGAAGAAATAGCAGGAGCTTAGGGTGAAAAGCATGGAGGATACATTTGTTAGGTGTTTAAGCTGTGTTGCTGAAGATGTTTTGCTCTGCTTTGCATGTGTGTCTGTTCCAGATGGTTTTCCTTGTGTTTAAAAAAATAGGCATATTTAAAATCTACTTTACAAAACCTCAGCAAATTAGCACTGATCTTTTCCAGACAATTCTTCAAATGAATGTTCTGCAAATGCCTCCTCACAGCATGCAAAGATTTAGATACGCTGGGAACTGGCTCAGCAAAGGATGCTCTCTAACAAGAGGAATTTAAGGGCTGATACCAGTTCAATTTGCCGCTTTTTGATTTTAATATAAAAAGAAATAGTTTCTGCAAGGAAAGATTCAGCTTTCATCACCAGAGCCCTAGCACAGACTTCACAGGCAAAACCAATTCACAGATAAGCACTTTTCATAAACATGACACATTTCTTGGCTCGCAGAGGTTCTGGAGAAGGAAAGATCAGGCTGTGCTGACATCTGGTGGCTTTTTCTGCAGGCAAAGACAGATCATGGCAATGGGTCTTGGCTTTTCACTGCCCTTTTTTTTTGTTTGCATTCCTGATGTAACTTCTTCGTTTCCTTCCAGGATACAAAGCATTATGATAAAAACATTTTTGTTTCCACTGACCAGTGGGGCAGTGCTGTCCTATGTGATTCCTCCTGCAAAAGCAAGAAAGGATCCTTTGTTGTGCACTAATAGTGACAATAGGAGAGGAAAAACTCTCCTCCTCATTTCAAAGCATATTTCTTCATGAACAAATTTTTAAAAATGTACATTCACTGCCATGGGAAATGCTGCTATTGCATATCAGACGAGGTACAAACCTAACCACTAAAGCACTGCAAATCAGCAGAGGTGGCAGCAAGAAGCAAAGGGAAGTGGTTGGGGAAACACGCAAAGGTGTATCTGTTTCTGTAACTCAATAGGAAACAGAGAGTAGAGAAAAGTCAATAAAATGAAAAGTGGCAAAGTCGTCTACTGGGCATGTTCCAGGACTCATTAATCATTTGCAGATCTGTGCCAAAGAGTACTGTGAAAAGGGAGTCATGGAAGGAGGATCAGGTGCCAACCAGGAAGATTGGGCTCAGTACAAACAGTTCAATAAGCACAAGTGTGCACTTGCCTTAGGCATTTGTAATGCCTCCAGCTGTCTGCTGTGCTCTGAAGCCAGGATCCCATCAGTCATAGGAGACCAAGAATGAGTATCACGTGTTCTGGTTTTTCCTCCTTGATCTCTGGACACTCAGGATTTCTCTGGCTATTATCTTCCAAGGACAGGACCCACAGATGTCCCATCATGGCTGTAATAACTCTTGAACTGTTACTTTCAAGCTCATTTTTAAATAAAGGTCTGTCAGGGGATGTGTTGAATACTCCCAGGGAGTGAAAGAGAAGCCACCATAGCTTCCAACATATCTCTGGCTCACCTTTAAGACAGAATGTTTGCATCAGATAAAGCAGTTCCCCAACTGTAACTGCGGTTGCATCTCAGATCTTTGAGGACTCCTTTAAGCCATTGGTAACTGTCAACATTTAACTCAGCTGTCCATGTCAGCAGTTTTCTTAACTGTTGCTTCTTCAAGAGGCAACATAATTACCTCTGGACAGAAAATCAGACAACACTGTTGGATGCAGAAAGCATAATGTGACAAAGCCAGAAAAAAACCAATGCCTGTTCCAGCAGTTCATGAGTTCGATTCCAAAAATTATTAAAAAGCACCATTTTTATACCTTTAGTGCTATAAAAAGCAGCATTACTTCAGTATCTCTGCACCAAGGGTGTTGCACAATTCACATTTTGCATGTTTATTCAGTTACACCTTTACCTCTTCCTCTTCATGATAATTCCTTTCCTAACTTGCTCTCTTTAGCAGCTATTCTTTCACACCTCTTAACCAAAACTCCAGTCCCTCTGAAGTGATTTTTTTTCTCCAAGCAACAACCAAGCCCCACACTACACCCTGGGGTTTTAGTTTAGCTACCTTTCCTTGCTACAGTGCTATAACCCAGGAGAAATTTTAACTGGATATTGTTCTTTTTGTTCAAAAAAAAAAAGGGTGAAAGGCCCCAAGAACATCACACTGAAAGATGAATCCTTATTAACCCCACAATGTCTAAGAACACTAGCAAAGCTGTATGACTTACCCCACTACAGCTTTGATTAAAAGCAACTATAAACCAATGCAGTTCATGACCTCTGCCAGGATAAAAAAACACAGCACCAACTCTGATTTCCTTCAACAGAAGGAGGATTTCACAACCATGTGGGCAAAGACATCCCAGTCTTTACTAATTTATTAGCCAGTGTTCAGTTTTCATTCAGTACTCAACAATCCTGGAATGAAACCTACTTTGACACAAGGCTATACCATATCCCACCAACAAATGTTAGAGCAGCATATATCTTGACATGTTCTCAGTTATTATCTGTGGTTTTGTGGGGTTTACTTGAAAGGAGCATTATTAAAGGTCCAATTAAAAAAAAACAACACAACAACACAGTAGAAAAACACCTCAGGAAGAAACCAGTTTACAAGTATGGCCATTGAGAGCTTTACAAAAGGCTCTACTGTGCTGCTGGAGAAAGGAGCCAATGAAGTGCCATTGCCAGAGCTCACTGAGCTCACAAAGCAGTAGTTTAACTCTTCCCTTGGAAAGAGAAGCTAATCTGGAGTGCCAGGCACATCATTCTTGAATATTTGCATTAGTACATTTACGGTTTTTCTCACTGATGCTGTAGAATCCCTCTTCCACTATGCCGCACTCAAAGTGGCACTGAAAGTTTGGAACTATACAAGCCCAGAAAGAACAGTAGTTAAAATGTGGTGACTCTTTCAAACACAAATGCCTTAGAAAAAAAGGATCACAAAACCAATCCAAATCTGTCTGAAAGGGCTGGAGACCAAATTCAAATCCCAAGAACAGGAGGAAAAGAATGGCAGTGTTTGCTCAGTCTGAAAGCAGTCTGAAAGCCTGAGTGTGCTGACTGACACCACCTAGATGCCTCGGCAGACCAGTCTGAGACATTGATCTCTCCAGTACACCATCTATCCTTACAAAGTTACCTTCATTTTTGTAAATTTGGCTGAACAAAGCTGGAGTGCAATGCATTACCTTAAACTGCCTGAGAAGATGAGTACAAATCTGTATTAGCCAGATAAATCTACAAACATGACAGACTGTGTAAGAAGGTAGATGAGATATGGGCACATATTTGGAGAGCAGGTACCAGCAACAGAGAGGCTGGCTGGACAGAAAGAGAAGGCAAGAGGTAAGTTCTCATAAATTCATCAGGGCATGCATAACAGCATCTAAATCCCAAAAGAATACAGGTGACTTCAGTGACACAGGACTCCTCCTTAAAAGATAAAGGTAAAATCACCCTTTTAATCACAGTTGAAAAAGTGTTAGAGTACTTTCAGAAGAGAATAAAACTCTGAAGCAAAGCTGTCGGTGAGTAACACCAGCTACAGAAACAGTCTAAACCAGAGAGTTGTCAGGAAGGATGAAGAAAACAAGGTGGGAACAATTCGTGGAGGGTTCTTTGGTCCTGCATCTAAATTAAAGGGAAATTTTATTTAGATACTTTGGAAATCACACATCTCCTTTCAGTATCATGTCAATTAAAAAAAAAAAAAAAACAATCAAAGCTCCAGGAAATGATAAGCTTAATTCTCCAGAAAGTCTCTTGTGGAAATGGTATCGTCAGGTCTCACTCAAAGCTGAGGGTACATGTGTAGGGTACAGCAACTGTATGTGAGGTCTCATTTGATGTAGCAGAGCCTATGCCCAAAAACCTGCTAAGGCAGAGAGCCAGCATCATTCCTGTTTCAGTGAAGAGAGGCTCAAAGGCACAATGTCCCATCATGATACTCCCTAAAAAGCATTTTGTAAGTGGTATCTATCTAAAGGTACTTTCTTGAATGCATGACTATTTTCTATTATTCTTTATTTGGTTCATGTAGTAGAAAAGACTGGAATCACCAAGAACAAACACATAGCAATAGAGTATTTGGCTCATGGAAAGCAGAAAGCAATCAATTCCAGTCTTGAAGACATGTGGCTCACAGACTGGGCCTCTCCTCACAAAAATGTAATGATTCAGGTTTTAAGAATAAAACTGAAACCATGAGCTTTCACTCCATTTGGAAAAATTCCCAATTCCTACTTAGGCAGAACTCGAGTTGCTACCTCTGCATGAAGGTGTCTCCACAAATTAAAGCTAGAAACAGGCGAGCTGGTCCTGAGCACAAAAGCCTCCTGGCAGTCATTTGTCCCTTTCAGCATGCTAAAGAGGGCTGGAAGAGAGGATAATGGAAAGCATTCACCAGTGAAAAGCATGAAACACTTGCCAGTCTGCACTACTTAAACAAAAGAGACCAAACATAAAATGAGAGAAGTAAAGCTACGACTTGAGAAACAGAGACATTCTCTTCTCAAGCTCTTTAAAATACCCAGTGATTTGGTCATAAAACTTTTCATTTAACTGAAGGAGGTTTCGCTTCATTTTCATGAAGTTAGTACTGTGATGTGATCTTACTGTGCATTGTATAATCTCCATATGCAGCTACTCTCTGCTGTAGGATCACACCAAGAACATGTGTCATAGGTTCAGAGATGGCACTGCCTGAAGCATAAGAGGCAAGCAAAGGAAAGAGAGAAGTGAGAAAGAAAAAAGTAATTTATGTCCCCCAGTTTTCCTTCTCTCAGTCGAGGCATATTGACAGAAATTAATTTCTATTGTAAGGAAATTGCACCGCTTGCAAAGCAATCCTCTAGGATTTATTGATCTTTAAGAAAAATCTCATTAAGCAGAATAAGGGAAATTTACAACAGGTATGGGAAAACAAAACAATCTCTTGGGATCTTCACCAGGCCGAAACAGGATTAGCTCTGTAGTTCCTGTAATCTTCCCCACAGAAGAATGCTAATTCCGTCTCATTTGCTGGAAGGAATAAAAAATTAAATATTTAGCACACCAGTAAATGAACCACCCAACAGCCAGCTATTGAGAATCTTAGAAGACAATTATAACTCTCCACACACTTTTCCTTCTCATATTTTTGCAAAAAAGACGTCAGGTAACCTTGTTAAAAAACACCCCAAGCAAACAAAACCACCAAGAACATGAATATATGGAAGTAAATATGTACACAAGACCCCTCAAGATTTGTTTAACAGTCTTCAGAATTGTTTGTATAAGCATCCAGCAAATTAAGCCATTGCATTTCTAACACCTTCAAATGCTAGGAAAATAATGAAGCATGATATACTCTTTTTTTTGTGCATTTTTCTGTTAGGAAATGGAAAAGGAAACTTTTTTTCCCATTAAATTAGCCTGTAGGTATAATAATTTAATACTTAGAGGATCAGTAGAATATTTTACAGATCACTTTACATTCTCCCTCATGACCCATCAAAATATGTGTCTGAAGAAGTTAATTTTTTGCCCTGCTGATGATTAATTCATGAGGCTTCAACAATATGCAAAGTGAAAGACACAAATTGGCTTCTCCAGCAATACCTTCAAATACCTCTAATTATTCACAGGGGATATAGCAGAGCTAAAGGACCCACAAAGGTTCAGAGCAGTCACAATTCTTTCAACCCAGTAGGTCAAGGACTTCCTCTTTTAAAACAATAAGTCAGCAACATTACTAATTCAGAACAGAGACAAATCTGATGGAAAGCCTTCACAATTATTAAACATGGAATTCTTAAGGTGCTGAGCCAATAAGTTCCACATTCTTTTTTTAAATTAAACCTTAAGTTAATGAAGTCTGCCTGTCTTGTAAAAAAAAAAAAAGAGCAGAAGGGATTTTAGAATCTCAACTAGAAAACAGACAAGAGTGTTTGCAATGAATACTGAACACTTTATTAACATACATCCTGCTTTAAAAAAAAAAAAAAGCAAGCATGAACTTTGCTGACTAGATAATAACTGTAATAATAATCACTACCACAGAGGCTTTCCTGAGGATACTTATCTAATGTCCTCATAATTTATAACTCTCTAGCCCAACCCTGTATAGTGCCAAGGGCAATGAACTGCAGCTTCGAAAAATGTTCTGCATGTCTCAGAATTTCCCAGGTTTTTTAATGGCCATTCTCTGTTTTATTCTGGTAAATCTTGTCCAGACTAGATGTTAGAAAACTGTAATATCTCAATAGGAGATTTCAAATCTTCTTACTGATTTAAAGAAACTGTACAAAATGAGGACCATTGGTATATGCTATCATACACTTTCTTGGTTTACTCTTTTCCACTTCTAGTTGAAGAGGAAAAGTAAAAGCTTCAAAATTTTACTACAAAGACTTCACTCATTCCTAACTTAGCTAATTTTCACATCAAAATATGCTGGAACATATGAAAATTCAAAAAGGCATAATGGCACATGGCATTTTCCAAAGAAAAGGTTTTCCTCTTCTATCACTAATATCCTCTATACACTAATGACTAACTGCTGTTAGTTTGTCAGAAAAGAAAAAAATTAAAAGCAGCTTTAAATCATTTTCTGCCCTGAATAAACCACCCCTCCCTTTGCACAGAGACACAGAACAGGCTGGTCTATTCCCATTTCCTTTCTCTATAACAGTTATTCTGATGTTTTGACACCTCTTTTGAGATAACATCCAACTGTTTCACTGCTGTAGCTACAAACCTCGTTTCAAAGAGGGATAATATATACAAATATTTATCAATACCTTTCTGAAAGAAGCCAGCTCTGACAGTGTTGTTTCTAATTCAACATTTGGTACTGTCATCAGTCCCTCTCCTGAACTGTATTGCCTCTTAGGTAGATAAAAATCATGCTTAAATGACTCTTCTGCTAACTAAATTACAAATCTATAAGGCTTAAGTGCCAGTAATTCTTTTTTTTTTTTCCTCCAGATTAAAATACCTGGTTCAGTAAAAACAGGCAGAGAATAACTATGATTCGTATCATATGAACACCCAAAGACCTTTAGGAAAGGTGTACTGAGACCAGTTGCAGTTCACCCCAGAGAAAAACATTGAAGAGACATCCCAAGTCACATAAAACCAGAAAGTAAATGAGAGGAAACGAAAGAGCCAAGAAACCTACGAGAAAGAAATCCCATTCAGCAGCTGGGGAGTCATCAGTGGGCATCAGGAACAGAAGGGGACTCGCTCTGTGAAGCCCCTGCACTTAGGGCACAGGCAGTTAATGTGTTCTAGCCAGGCAAATCAGATTCAAATGAGCAAACGTCCATATCAAGGTGGAATGCAACTACCTCCCTTAAGTACCCTGCTGCCACAAAGTCATTCAGCCACATTCATGAGAAGCCCAAAGGACATCCAGGGACTATCAATTTTATGATGACAGACATTTCTTTACATTATTACCAAAAGACATGCCCTATATGTAGTCTCCTGTCAAAATGTGAGAAATCAGGTCAAGTTTCAACTCTTTGCCATGTTCAGCACATTCTCTAAATGATACTGCTCAAGCTTTCCTGAGCAATCTGACTATCAGGCACTGTATGCAGCACATTAAACAAATCTAATCTTATTTCATTATTCCATCCTGGTTCCACTACTTACATTTCTAACCAAAACATCAGTTTAAATGTTACTGATAAGACTAAGCAGACACGATACTAATAACCTATCTGTCAATCATTTAAAATTACTCTCAGCAGAATTATAAGCATACCCTCCAAAAATCACAATTTGCATTCTGAACATTTGGAGTGCAGATACCTGCTGCCCTCAGACCAATGATTTGAATAATTCTTCCCTGAATAATTATGAAGTCGTGTAAAGAGCATCAGGAATAGCATTTACTTTTCAGCAGCCTATCCAAACATAATCAGCCAGTTATCAGTTTAATGCAACTACAATGAACAGCATCTCCAGTCAATACAAATGTACTCCTACCTACTCCAGCTGCTTTCAGTGTACTGTCTTCTTTCAGAATCAGTTTGTCATCATCTTCCAAACTCACTACAAGTTCACCAGTCTACAAATCAGAGAACCAGAATATAAAATAAGAATTTACTGATTGCCTCTGCCCGAGTCTTGTTTGACAATGCAGAGATCTCCCTGCATCAAAGCACATAAAAGGGGAAGAACACAGCTAATAATCTTACCTTAGATTTGTGTGCTTGGTGAATAATCTTCATTGTATCTGAAAGAAAATACAGTGTTTTCCTAAAATAAGGCTTAATAAGCAGATAACACAAAGTTGTACTTGGGGGAAAAAAAACAAAGGCAGAACCTTCAAAACCTTTTGTTATTAACAATTCTGCTTATTGAATCTTAATCTCCCAGTCCTGCAGCCACAGCCTTAAACCAGTCAATGCAACATTAAGGTACCACATTCTAATGGGCTTCTGTCAGCTGTCTGAATTACAATAACTAATAACCATCCCAATAGCCAGTCAAAAGACATCAATTTAAGTGCCACTTAGGGTGTTTTAACACGTTTTACACATGCAATTGGGGCAGGTCCAACAGCATTTATGCACTGTCAACTATTAAAGCTACGCTGATAGGCAACAAGTGATTAAGACAGTAACCTGTCCACTTCAGATCATCCTTGAAATTTTCCTTCTCGTGAATGAAGTACCCACGGCAGAAATTTTGTTAAGCAAGTTCATCTTCCATTAACAGGTATAGGCTTTTTAATGCTATATCCTCTTCAGTAACTTTTATCTCTGATACGTTTGTGCAATGTAGTACTTTTAGAAATTATGCTATTAAAAAAAAAGAAAAAAAAAAAGAAAGTGCCACTTTCTTCTGGCAATGTGGGCAGGGCTTTAACAGAAGGGAAAAACAGGGGAAAATAATGCGGTCACTGAAGCAACTGGATGAGTGCAAGGATCCAGAGGGAATGGAAGTCAGCACTTAAAGCCATGCAGCACTTAAAAAAAATAATAATCAAACTCCAAAGCTGCTGTGTTAGAACAAATTCAGAGTAATACATCAATCCCTTCCCAGTAAAGAAGAAAAACCAGTTCTGCTTGATGCCTCATTTTCTCTTCTAGTTTGGATTTGCGCACTGAGTGAACACTATGTGTCGAAATAGTCTGGTAAGAGAAGGATGCAAGAAAGTTAAATATAGACTAAACGAACTCACAAACTACCAAGAGTAAGTATTCAGATGTTCAGAATAACAGAAATCACACTCCCACTCAGAAGTTTGCTTCCATATGCCTCTGGCCCATTTTGGACACTATTTAAAACACTACATAAGGTAGAAACTACTCTATTCCCACCACAGAGGTCACTGAGAAGGCAGCCTTGGTATGTTGTAATAACTGTGGCATAAGAAGCAAGACAGACATTAAATTGCAATTACCAGGATCCATCTTGCATAGAAGCATTGCAAAAAGACCAAGCAACCACAGAAAAAATATACTGCAATCCAGAAACCTTTCTACCACAGCAAATAAAACACAGTCTCTGCCTGTTAGTTTTAAGCTTCTCTGCCTACTTTGTCACATTCCCTTTTGTCTAGTCTTAGCCCAGTCATTCCCTGAACCATTGTCTCAATTTCACTTTTTCACAACTCCACCACTGGCACTCAGCAGTTTTCCTTGTCTTCATCTGAGCTATTAAATGGCTTCTCTAACCTCTGTTACAGAGATAAAACTACAGTCTCTTCTCATCCTAGCTAGAGCCTTATGTCTTCCCACTAGCCTTTGCTATTTCATCCCCATTTAGTTCCACTCCATCATATTGACAATTTTTTATCTTGTCTTTTCTGTTAATAGGTCTTTCATGACAGTAGATAAGAAATGACTTTCTGAAGTCTGATTCTGTGAAACATCTACGATATTGCTCCACATTCATGGAGAAAAGAAATAAAACTAAGAAGCAGCTTGTGAGACAAGATGGCACTATCTTCACTGCCCTCACCAGTGGAAAGAAGGTAATGATGGGGTAGGAAGATAAGATTGACTGAGAAGAGCTCTAGACCAGGGACAAGAATTATGTGTTCAAAGAAACAAAGAGAAAATGAAAGTCATAATCTTTGAGACGTGAGTTAGAGCACCAATCCACAAGGAAAAATGAGATGGCATTATATATGATGTTGAGAGAACAAAGCAGTGCTGAATTCTGGAGAGAAGGAAGCTGAAACAGGCAAGGTGAGAGACAGCCAATCCAACTGAGATTTCTGGTACTGCCAAACAAAGCAGAAGGAAAAATCTGACTCTTACGAGCACTATTCATGCAAAAGTCTCACTGTCCTTTTCTTACAAAAATCCAAGAAAGACAGTGGAGCAGTGTAGAGACTGCAGAGATGGCAAAAACATGAACCTGGATGATTCACAGCCTGAGGGGAAGGTGAGGAACTTGGCTTTGATTTTCCTGTGTGAAAAATTTTGCGCAGTAAAAAGTAAATCCCAGTAAAAGTAGGCCCCCACTAACTGGTGTAGCAGGTTTTAAAGTTATGCTCAGTCCTACATGGCACAATCAGGTGCTTGGCCACAACTTACGCCTTGGGAAAAACTAAACTGATCTCCAAGAGATGAAAGAACTAGCAGCAGGGATAGGCAACACCAGGAATACAACTGATAGCAGCAGTTCTAGACAGGACTCCCTCATCTGGCCAAAGCCACTGATGGAATGAAGGGCACCTCCCAATTCAAACTTAGAATTACCTAGATGTTAAGTAACATATTAAAAATAATAGTAACACTCAAGTCCTTGCCACTGGCATATCTTAATCCCTAACCCTTTTTCTGGTTTCATTTTGCACTATATCTCCTTCACCATCAGCAAGAGCACAATATGAAATCCTTGGCTTTTTTTTTTTAAACAGGCAAAGCAAGTTTATTACCATTCACATGTACTAAGTAGGTTTCTCATTCAATTACTTGAATCACTGTAGAGGAAGGAGTTTGTCAGCTCCAAGAACATCAGAGACAGAGGATCACTTGCAGCAAAACTCCAAAGGAACTTTCAGAATTGCCAAGTTTAGGCTATTTCATTCCACCAACTTGTATTTAAGAGCTTTCATATCTTCTTTGAGCAAAGTTCCCTTGCTTCTCTTATATAATGTAAACTATTTAGGCACAAAAGTCTTCAGCATTTTCTACTTACTGCCTTCAGCTCCCGTTTCACCAGCCTTTCTGACTTCAGCATTAGTAAATAGATACTGAAGTACATAAGCACAGAGAACTACAACTTCAGTGTTTTGAGATCACAAGCTGCTCATTACAGCAAAGACAAAAAGTTAAAAGGCACTTATAAAAGCAATAAAAAATTAATACTAAAAAACATCAGTACTCAAGAGCAAATAATGCATAACATGCAGCCTAATTCAAAGATTAATATGAATCTTCAAAATAATGGTCAAGTCCTGCAGACATGATCCCAGTGCCATAACCCCAGCTACAAGAGCTGGCACCAGCATGAGTATTCCACAACAGTTATCTTTTAAATTGTATAAGCACTGGTATAAAGTGCTTATATGTGCATTTTACAGTAACTAAAACAAGAAAAAAAAACCCCACCTACCATACTTGTAATTTTTAAAGGGAGGAGGAAGTCCTGTTCTTGAAGACACATCTGTTAAAATAAAAGCACCAAGTTAAAACAATGTTCTCTCTTTTTTATTTCCAATATTTTATTTTCAATTATTGTGCAGTGTATGCATCCTGGACAGCCTTTACATCAAAATAAATCCACAACACAGGAGACTTGGTTGAGCATCCAATACTAAAACAGAACCTTTGGCTCAGATTCTATCATTACCCCATATGTGATTAACTTCACTTGAGCATGAAGTCCCTCTGAACAAAACAACCCATGAGGACAGTGAGTCAGTGCAATTCAGATATGATCACAGGAGTCTGATCCTTCAGAAATCTGCCAGGAGTACCCTTTTAATGGTTTGCACAGCATCTCTCTCTACTTCATACAAACAGCTCACAACTGTCATTCATAACTGAATCATTCAGTAAACACAGCCATGAGAACCAGCCACAAAAAAAGAAGCCAAACTGTAGAAAATCAACTCTCCAGCTGTACACAGGACACAGCTCATAAGTAACTGCAAGAACACTGACACTTTCCATGGTGCCAGTGTTCCCAGTGACACCCAAGGACTTAACCAGGGCCTCGGAAGGCCTGTGGAATGCTTGGCAGCAAAGCAGCTGAAACCATGATTTCATCCAGTACTTTTAACAATTTATATCAAACTTCCCCTTCAAAACAGATCACAGTAAAGCAAGGAACATGACTTTTGGACCAAGAACAGCACTATCCCTCTGTGGAATGAGGTTCCAAAAAGTCTTGTTCAAGGCACTGGCTTTGTCTCAAATAACTGTGAGTTGCAATACTGCACACATCAAAAGCAAGTTTCTCAGCATTGTTTTTTATTTTCTTCTTCATAACAGCAGCTGTACCATATGTTCTTGTAGTTTTTTAAAAGCATTCTAAGATCTTGCCATCCCTATCACTGTCTAGAAGTATGGCAGTCACCAAAAGCACAATATAGCCATGAGTCCCAGGGCACTGTCCTAGGAGTTGCTCAAATGTTATCATCTATAACAGTTCAAGACTTGTTCAAGATGACTTCATGTGAAAAAAGCAAATGATGTTATTCTGTTCCCTTTGAATGTCTCCACTTAGGTGTGTGGAAATCCACCCGCAACATCAAGGGTAACACCCTAACAGCTGAGTCGCTGCGTGGGTTGGTCTGCAGTAATTAACTTTTACATTCACTGTCACTTTCAACGAGGCTTCTAAAACAGAGAGCCCACAAAGCCTAAGACGGAGACAGAAACTCGGAAACAAACATGCATAGCAAGACCTCACAGTGTCAAAAACAATTTTTCAAGATTCTCTCTTCTCACAAATAGCAAACAGACTTGCATTCCCACATTCCACATACTGGTGTAGTTCCTTAGGATCAAAGGCTCTCTAAATTCTATTAATTTATTCCTATTAATTTGTGAATATCTCCCTGACAGCACCACGCAAGGAGCCTGAGGCACTGAGCTAAATGCACCAACGCCCTTGTTCCTTTTGGACTTAACATGGGGTTTGGCCAGGGGGAGCAGTCTATCCAAATTTAGGCATGGCACACTGACCATGGAAGCTCTTATTAACTCCAGACCCTTTATCCAAGGGAGAAAAGCATACAGGGGACATAAACACAAATCTGGCATCTCTACCAAAGCCACAGAATTCCCATTCATTTGCTCCCCTCCACTTTCCTGGGCAGAGACAGCAACACATGGGCCTGAAACGAATGAATAAGACAAGCACCCCCTACCCTTCCTCACGAAAGTAATGAACTCCTTCACTGTCTGATCCAAGGCAACTCCATGGTACACCACAGGTCTGAAATTCCGGTGCTCAAAAGAGCGAACAAGACGAACTGTGACAGTCGAGCTCTCTGCTGACATGAGAATTAATTCTGAATCACCTGGAAAACATTAAAGAGAGGAATTATTGCCTTTCCTTTGTGCATGGGCACAGCTGGAAAACAAAGGTGCAGGTTGGGCCTCATCCAAAGATTAAAACATGGCAAGAAGTTCAATAATGTTTCTTTCAGGGTTTCACTTCTATTATTCCTACAGAAGCAGTAACCAGGTCTCAAAGCAAACAGGACATTACTGATACTGCACACCACATGATCTGTACCTGTGCTGTGTGGTGCCACATCAGACTTCACATGCAAAAATGTTGTGGGTAAATGCAATTATGTTGTTTGGGTTTTAAGTGACTTCACCTGCTGGGCGAGTAACCTCGTGCTCCAGAAGAATGTGCTAATATGAACAAAACCAAAACCTTTTTAACGTACTTATGTTGCAGAGAGTGTAATACCCTGAAAAATGCCTAAGCTGTCACACAATGCTCGTTTTCACCTCCCTAGAGAAAGTGGAAAAACCGTCCCCATATACACATACAAATAATCCTCCTGGTACAGTTCTACATAATTAAGGGATTTAATTTATAATAGTAGGTCTCTAGAATGGCTCTACAGGGCTTATATACTTTAAAAGAGAGCAGAACCTACAACAGAGTGGCTTCATCAACCCAAACCCCTCTTCAAACAAGCCCACATGTTGTTCTGTCGGGTTCTTTCTCTCCACAGGAAAACATAACTGTTTCCTATCTCAACCTACTTCTCTATTTTTGGTGCTGGGTATCCCTCAGCAACCTTGTTTCCTGGTCACATGGTAAACTGCTGTGGCTACAGCAGTAGGGAGCACAGACTGCAGTGCATGTGCTGTGACATCAGGCAGGGGCACAGCACAACCTCTGCACCTCCCATCCTGGAGCAACCATTTCAGTCACCATTTCCAGTCCTGCGAGGGATTCTCTCACCAGTTCATCCCTTTATGTTCTTTTTCTGTGTCTTTTATTTTTTGCCTTTTTTTTCCCGGGGGTGGTTATTTAAGTGCCCCATCACCATGCAGGTATCCAGGTACATCCCAGCCTTTCCTGTATTATTCTAGCTGTATCCTGGCAAAGCAAAGTAGCAACATTTTCTTCAAGTACTATCTGCAGAACGAGGGCAAGGACCTTCCACAACACAGGGCAACTTGCTTTTACATCCCCTTGGTTAATAATTCCCAGAGCTCCAATTCCATTGCAAATAAGCTGTGACACACAAATAAAATACGCCAAACAAACAAACAAAAAGCACACTTCGCACCTGAAAATAACTAGATTTATATTAAACAGCTGCAGACACCCTTCCCCTTAAGGGTGGGTCATCACAAAAGCAAAGGTGGATATTTTCCTGGTGCTATTCCGCATGGGCTGGAGATCTGGAGGGCACAGCATTCAATGTACTTTCTCCTGAGCAGGACGGAAAAGCACTGTAAGAGCACAGATTTGGGAGCACAACCAGAAATCGCCGATTTTCACATCTACTACTCAGAATGAACAGACCGATCGCACGTAGAGCAGGGACCCGGTACTACCCCGGGCCTCCGCGAGGAGAACAGCGCAGGCCAGAGGCGCTGGCGGCAGACTCCTGTTGTGGAAAGGACCCTTCCCCGGTCCCGCAGCATCGCCGCGACCCACCAGGACCCGCCCCAGCACAGCCCCCTGAGCCCCACACCCGCCGCCCACCCGACTGGGCCCGTTACCGCTCCCCGCCGACACTTCCGGGTCCCGCCTCACCCGCCTAACCAATCATGTCCCCTGGGTGACACCCACTGCAGCGCAGGATTGGCTGCGCTGCTCTCCGGTCCCGCCCCCTCCTCGCCCCACTGATGAATGGGCGGGCCCCGCGCCGCCTCCGCATTGGCCCTTTGCCCGGCGCGTGCCCGCCACCGGCGGGCGCCGATTGGCCGCGCGCAGGGCACGGCGCCGCTGATTGGGTGGTGGCGGATAAGGCGAGGGGTGAGGCTCGCGCGCGCGGCGGGGCGGCGCGGCAGAAGCGGCGGCACCGGGAGCGCAGAGGGGCTGCAGCGATGACCGAGGTGGGGGGGGGACACTGGGGGCTGTGGGGACACGGGAGGCAACCGGGCACCTTCCCCTTATCACCCACTGCCGCTTTCTCCCCCAGGCCGCGTTCCAGAAGGCCGCCGAGGAGGTGAAGCAGCTTAAGTCGCAGCCCGCGGACCAGGAGATGCTCGACATCTACAGCCACTACAAACAGGCCACGGTGGGCGACGTGAACACGGGTAGGTGCCGCCCCGGGCGGCGCTGGGGGCAAAGCCTCTTCCCCGCTGTGCTTCACGCAATCCCGCGGCTCGGCTTAAGTGACTCAGAGCCCACTTGGCTCGGATTTACGACCAGGGCATAGCCCAGCCCGATAAGGGTTTGTGCAATCTCCGGTTTTTAGATTAACCCAGCTGCAGCCGTCCGGATCGTGCAGTGAGGGGCTGGGGATCCTTTGCGTGTTAGCTTAGTGCAAATAGTGGGATTGGGATTTTTGCAGACCTCTGCTGGTTTAATGCAAACACTTCTCGGGTTAAACAGCCTTAAACAGCAAAGCAAACTATAGAAGTGTAGAACTACAGTACGAGGGTAACGACACACACAGTTTATATAGACTGGACGGGCTGCTAAAAATAGCGTTGGAAAGCAAAACCAGAAGAACGGGAGAAAACTCTTACAGGAGCTGCAATTAAATATCATATTTTGGAAAGACTGTGGCAAAAATATGTCTGCAGGTACACTACGCAAAATATCTTCTCCTACTTCTCTTGCTACATTTCTGCCACTGGCAGTTCAGCCCCCGGAATAATATTTAGAGTGAAGCCTGTCTCTGTTGACCTTGTGTAACACTGGAGTAGCTAGAATTAGAAAGGAGAAAGGTCATTTGTTTAGAGTGCTGGCCTCCTAACCCAGTAGCTGGTGAAGTTTATTGGGTGTTTATTGAATTAAAAGCTGGCAGTGAAGTGTACATGAAATGGTAAATGCAGTCTCCTTTTCCCAAGGTGGGCAGCATGAAGGGAGAACAGAACCGACTCTGGGTTTAAGATACGATCCTTCGGTGTGGCTGGACCCTTAGCATTTTTAATGCTTGACAAGGGGAAATGGTGTTCTAGAGCTGTGAATATACCACCATTTCTGTAAGTGGTTGCCCTCTTGTAAAGCAGGAGCCAACATGAGCTGGCCAGAAAAGCAGCCTGTGAAAGAGTGACTGATGGGGTTTGTGTTGGAGAGAAGCGGAGCTGCCAAGTAGCTCTGCGGGTCACTGTGCCATGTGAGCTGCATAAGGGTATTTCTGTGGCTACTCTCCAGTTCCATTTTATAGTCTTAAGAATTGTCTTTAAGGAGACAGAGGGGAAGTAAAATCGCAGAGGGGACTTGACTCGAAGAATAGCCATTTATACATAATTCATTCTCTACTTGGCCACACGTAACCTGCAGTGAGTTAGAATTCCAAGGTTATATCCCTAGATGACAGAACAAATGTGGAGCTATAGGTTAGAAACACACCCTTAGCTTGATGATAGTGAGTTCTAAGTTGTATGCTACCAGCTTCTATGCTCATGTCTTTGCATGTAATGGACCTTAGGGTATTTTTGCTTTACTTTAGGGCTGGTGTTCTTTAATTGGATAGCTGCCAGGTTATAGGAGGCTCTTCAGAAAGCACCATAAAACCAAATCACACTGGTTGGTGCACTTCTGCTCAAATGCTGCTGTCTCAAGGGAACTTGACAGAGTTGTCACTAGCAATGTTCTAGTGCGTTCCCTTGAGGTGATCTGCTGACTACAGGTTAGTAAGTAACAGCTGCAAAGATGAACCATTGTATTTTGTCATAGTTAAGAGCTAAATAGCCTTCAGGTGGGTATTACCTACACCCAGATCACACAAACTAATTCTGCTGCTTATCTTGTCTCTCAGAACGGCCTGGTATGCTGGACTTCAAAGGCAAAGCAAAGTGGGATGCCTGGAGTGCGTTGAAAGGTAAGTGTCTTCTTAAAAAACTAATAAAAGTTAGCAAAGCATGTGTAGTTCAGCAAGAAACAGAATAGTGTTGCCTTATAATACAAGAGTTCTAGAAGTTCAGAATGCTATGATAATAAACTTTTGATTACCTCTGCAAGGCACAAGTAATCATGAAAAATATTGCCCGTGTGAAAGGGAATTAAGATGCAAAATGCCCACCTGGCTCAAGATGTTAAACAAAGGAGAACAGTAACATCAACAGAAACCTAAGTCTGTTTTCCAGGTCCCAGCATAGTACTCCAGAGACTGAGCTCTCCCCCTAGTTGTTATGCATCTTCCAGTTAGGAAAGCTTTAGAAGAAACAACTGACCTCTTGGCTCTAAACAAGGAGCCTATCAAGTGGTCTAATCCATGACAATGGAGGGGGGGGTTGTTTTCTGGTGTTTTAAAGAACCAGCACTAGCATCTAAATGCAGTCTTAAGTTGACTGAATAGGTTTCCTGTAATAATTGGCAATGGCATTAATAGAACTGATACACTGTTTAGTTGCTGTCTGTCCAAAAACAACTTGGCTTTGAAACACTGTTTTATTATGGCTGATGAACACGTTTCTGTAAAACTTTAATAGTGGATTCACAGCCAACTGACCTTCTTGGCTCCTCTGGTGTCTGGTAGCCATGGGCATACCAAGGAATTGTGACTTGTAAAAGGCATTTTAATCTGCAAAGGGTAGCTGACTGCTTCCTGTGTTCTGTCCTTCAGGAATGTCCAAAGAAGATGCAATGAAAGCTTACATAGCAAAAGTGGAAGAACTAAAGGCCAAATATGGCATCTGAGGACTGGATATAGCAGCCACATGCACGCCTGAAACATGCCTTATTTCTAATACTGTGGAAAACTGGTTTCCAAGAGTAATCTTAAATACCTAGTGTGTTACAGTTGTTTCTCCTCACGCCTGTACTTCAGGAGAAGTTATGTACCTGCCTAATAATGTACTGACACATTATAAATTCCTTCTGGGAACAAAATCTGGAACTCATTAAAGTGAATTTGGTACTTAAACTGTTGTGCTGGTCATCCCTTTGTGATTATCCTTCAATTGCTGTGTTGCAGCTGTCAAACCAAACCAATTTCCCGATCGTTGTGCCACTAGAGGGGGTCGGTTGTCTTTGTTCGGCCAATGCGGACTTTGGCCAAGCCACTCCTCCGTTGCTTCCTTTCTCGTGGAGATGAGTGGCAACCCACTAAAGCTGGAGGTGTTGCCATATTTGATTACAAAACAAAGTTGTGACCGTTTCTAGTCGGCTTTTAATTGTTTTGGTCTGCCAAGTATGGTCTCTTGGAGCGGCTGATGATGGAAAGGGAGATTTTGCTTTTAAAGTGTGACATTGAAGTATTCCAGCATAGAGCATATGAGAATGAAGTCCCAACCTTATACAGGAGCATTCTAATTCCTGCTTTCCTGGTTAGCATCTGAACAGGTGAGGACTTAACAGTCATCAGATAAGCAACTGATTTATAGAAATACATAGAGATGAAAGCTATCATTACATACTTGTCTAGGTAAGCACCATTTTGTAGTTAGTTACACGGGCTTAGCTGTGTGTAGTAGCCTTTGAGATTACCTCCCATGCTTTCAAAAATTAAAAGTTCCCCCTTTGCTACTTTTATTGGGAAATGCTCTTAGAACTACTTTTCACCCTTTAAAATGTGTTGGAATAATGAACAAAAAGAAGTTGTTTATTCTTGTTCTTCTGGGTAAGTAAAAATAAGTAATTGGGGTTTTTACCTCCTATTGTCTGCTATTTGACATTGTGTTAATTAAATTCACCTTGCAAGAGAGAGGTAAGAGCAGATGTTCAGCACAAGAAATGCTTTTACTTCTTTTTCCAGCCCTAAATTCCACAGCCAGCTCTATGTTCACAGCTGTATTTGGAGCTGGTTATCCTTGGAGGATTCTGCCAGCCTGTGTCAGAATGGAGCTTATACTGGCAAACGCTTCCACTTCTGCTTTTGTTTGCTGGAAGTCCGTGCACTGCGAACATGCTGTGCTTTGCTAACATGCTTTCTGTCAGAATTTTTGACTGCTAAAGCAGTGGAGTTGGGTATAAAGGATGGGCTGGGAATAGCAAGTTCAGTATTCCAGTCCTCATTTGGCTTGATTTCCCCTGTGAGACTTTAATTGTTGCAGTGCTACTCTCCTTTCCCATACCTGTCTGGCATTAGGAAAACATTGCTCTGTACACAGTGCTTACCCCAGAAAGGGCTTGCTCTTGGCCAGGCTTACAAATAATGCTATTTGCCAAGTTATACAAGTGTCTGAGAACTCTACCTTGGATGTCTTTATTTGGGTGCTTTATTTTTAGTGTAGTAACACCTTTCTGCTTGCAGCTTAACCTTCCTTAAGAAAGTAACATCAGTGGTCTTACTATTTAGCTTGCCATTTGGCAATCAACTGTGTCTCTCAGCAGCAAGCTGAAAGATTCAAGATGCGGAAACAAGAGCTCTGCAGTGAGAGACTGTACAGAAGGCACAGAGGCAGCAGCAAAGGTGCTGCGTGTCTGTGCACACTGTGATGAGAAGAAGCAACACAACATTTGGCTGCATGGCCATTAACTGTGGGTACTACCACTGCAGGGAGGGGGTTGAAATAGACTGAGCTGAGTTGA